GTAAGGGAGGTGGGGGAGGGAGGGAGGAGGAGGAGGAAGTGTTGTGTTAATGTCTTGATATGAATCAGGCTAGTCTGACAACTGAATAATATCTGCGCATGCCCTAAGTTTTGCTGTGGAAAACGGATTTTGAGTCATTTGCTGGGTTGATTTCCTATTCTGTTGCTTCGGGGTGTAGTCTTCCTTGCTGCTTTTCTTTTACAGAACAACCACCAAAAACTTTGTACACCCCTTAAAATTTTTCAAAAATTAATTTCCTCCTTAAAAACTCTGGAAATAGGAAATTGCCTTTGACGAAAACAAAATGCCTCAGTTTTAAATGTTAGCCCTTGTTATTTTCCACTAATTTTGTTAAGTTTAAACTTAGAAAACTTGAGCCCACATTGTTGACCACATACCCTCTGATAGAGGATTTCATTATTCAGCCCTGTTGGCTAGTCCAGGCTAAGTGAAAAAGTAAAAAGAGCTGTGCCAATCCAAACGTGACATATGTTGGTTGAACTAAGCCTGAAGATCTCTGGTTTAATCCCAATATATATGACATAAGCTAAGTACCTTGTTCTGAGCAGAAATTTCCTTTCTTCCCCTATGGTTCTGATATGCACTTGATTCTGCCTCTCCACATTCTATGTTGTCATTGCTCCAGGTTTGCTTCGAGCCACGGTTTTTATGCACACTTAAGAACTCCTGAAATTCAACATCATCTTCAAGATCACCTAAAATTTTTGCCCTCTTTTTCTTTTTCTTATCTTTTTTCTTCCTTAACCCATCTGATTCACAATTTTCTATTTCTATGCGTTCTGAGTGCTGGGTTTTTAACTTCTCGTTCTTTCCTTCTAAGCTCTTTTTCAGTCTCTCATTTGCAGAGCTGCCTTGAGAATATTTGCTCCAAGGCCGTGGAAGTGTTTCATCTCCAAGGTTTTTAGCGACATCTACGAATATCTTTGAGGTGTCAATAAACGATTTGTTAAAATGGTTCAGCGCAGCTTTCGCTTCTTCTTCAGTTTTATAACCAATAAACCCAAACCGTCGAAACTTCCCATCCTTTGTGAAGCATAATTTGACATCTGTTAATTCTCCTTTTGCCACGAAAATAGAACGAATCCTTTCTTCCTTTATCGTCTTTGGTAAGTTCCTAACAATAAGCCTGGACATGATCCAATTACCTGGATTCTCACGGGAAAGACGAGTATTTACAATTGCAGAATTCTGCGTGTACTACAATCCACCATCTTTAAAGTTTGCACGTGTTTCTATTTTATGGTAAGGATGTGGTGTATGGCAAATGTAATATCCTGACATGTAGAGGTATCTCAACATACACCACGTACCCAATCAATGATGGAAGGTAATTCAAAATCAGTGAAAAGAAAAATTGAGGAAGTCGATGCTGATGCAAGCGATGAAAAATCGCTGGGCATCAAACGATTTTTAAGGGTACCCAGAAAAGGTAGGAGATTAACTAATGAGTCAGGATGTTAATTATGTAAGGATGAATTATGTAACTTTCCCGGGTTGTGAGTCTTTTCTTCCAAAATTACAGTGTCAAACAAATTATTGAATTTTTTATATCAGTCAGAAATTGTCGACATATTTTTCTAATTATTAGTAATTTACATTCAATTAAAACCGATCTATTAAAAAAGAAAAAAGAATATCATCAGTTCACTGCCCAAACTATAGTTCTAAGTAAGTAGTAAGTAATTTATTTATCCACATTTCACAATTGAGTATAACTCGTTTTAACGTGAACGTGCCAGGTTAAAATAATATATATAACAAGCTAGACAATGATGATAATAATAGTAATAAAAAGGAACTATAAAATCATATGGGAATCATGGTGCATATGGGAAATAAACAGGAATCAATAAAACTAAGAGGGAACAAGCTAGGGATAAAATAAACTATGTACAAAAGTTGCATTCACACTCCACACTGGTAGTCAAGTTGACCTCGTCCAGCATTGATTTAAAAATATTAAGAGAAGGAGCTCTTCTTGCATAGTCAGGTAGATTATTCCATAATCTTGTAGTAACGTATTGATATGACCTATGCATGAATCTGCTAGAATAAGTAGGCTGATCAAGCTTGCAGAAGCCTCTGAGGTCATATTTATTATTACGAAATAAAAACATCTCCCTAATATTATTCGGCCCCATGTTATATAAGCATTTATAAAAAAGGCAGAGAGCATGAGAATATCTGCGATGCTCTAGGGTCTTCAGTCCCACATGGTCAAGTAAGGTACTATATGAGTTTGACTTAGCCATGTTTAAAAGAGTTCTAATGGCATACTGATTAGTGAGCTCCAGTTTGTTAGATAGGCCAGATGATAACCCAACTAAGACTGGAGCACAGTACTCTAAGTGTGGCAAAATAAATGCCTTATAAATATTGACCATCACTTCTGAAGGTATGAATTTATGAACTCTCCTAAGAGCACTAACTTTGGCATTAACCTTATTACACACGGATTTAATGTGGGCTTTAAAAGATAAGGAGTGGTCAATAGTTAGACCTAATAACTTCATATCATGTACCACATTCAAGGGAGGCCTAGTACGGTCAGCAAACAATTCATAACATGGTGGATTATCACCCAAAGGCAATACTTTAGTTTTAGATTCGTTTATATTTAAGTAATTACGCTTGAACCATGACTGCAGCACATCGAACTTTCTCTGAGATCTTAACTCTAACGCATATTGAGTAGGGTGTGACAGATACAGTGTCGTATCATCAGCATAAAGCCTTAGTTTAGCATCTTTGACAAAATACATGAGATCATTAATGAATAGGTTGAATAGTAGAGGTCCCAATATTGATCCTTGTGGAACACCATGTTGGATTGTTTTCCAATCTGAGTGGTTATTACCAATCTTAACTCGTTGCAACCTATCATGCAGATAAGAACGAATAAGGTTCATTACTTGTTGAGATTATTATGGTAAAAAAAAACTGATCACACCATAATAATTCTGGAATAATACTAGTCAGCCCCTTGGATTGTTCCCCGTATTTTTATTCATACATTTTGGCCTGTTTCAAGGTTTTAAAGGTCTTTTTCAAACTTCTGTCATCAATTGGTGCACTTGATTCTTTAATGATTTCATGACATTCTCACTAATTTTAGGCATATATTTAGACACATTACTTAGTCTTAACCCTTTACACCACAACATCGGTATGCATTTTCTTCAAATTGTTCTCCATACATTATAAGGTGCTGATCAAGAGAATTTGAATCAACAATCTAGAGCTTCTTTAGTTGGTGATCATTTCCTTTATTCTCATGACCTTGATATGTGATACAGAGGCAATATATAATGAAAGGAGAAATTAGATGCTGGTCATTATAAGAAGTCAAAGGGTTAATAAAAAATTCATATTTCTAGGTGAGGAGGAAACAAACAGTGACATTTCTCAGTCACATGGAAGAAGCAACTTGTTCCCTACTTGGAAGTGGAAAGGAACCTTACTTTATTATGAGTCACAGGACATCCAGCCTTTGCAACAAATTGCAGCCTTTGACTTTGATGACACGTTGGCAAAAACATCTTTATTCAAACATGGACCAGATGCTTGGTCCATACTTTACTCTTCTTGTATACAGAAACTAACAAACCTTCACAAGGATGGATATAAACTTGTGATCTTCACTAACCAGGCTGCTATCGGCAGAGCAAAGGCCTCGAAACAAAAGGTTACAGATGAAAAGAAAGGCAGGCTCATTGGGTTTGTCAAGAAGGTAGTAGGAACTTCCAAAGACAGATTTCTATAATGTGAGCATGTTTTAACCAAGGGGCTGAATTCCATTGTTTTCTGAACAAAAGAAGAAGCATTAGGCAAGTAACTGTTGCAGAATCCCCTTGGGCTCAATTTCTGCTGTGCTCTTTAAAGCCCAGTCTTGTTTACCCTCTGAGGGAGGGGGTAGGCTGATTTCTTGAACAGAGGCTGGTTATTGAGCTTGAACCCTTTTCCTTTAGAGCAGATATGCTGATCCACTAGATAGCACTCTGCTCTCAGAGCAAAGAGGTCTGTATGAGAGACCTAGCCATGCCACTTGGTTGTTTTCTTGTGCAAAACACTCTTTCTGTGCCTTTCTTCACCAAGAGTGTAAATGGGTTGGGGAAAATTGTTAGGGAAGCTTGACAAAATGCTGGAGGTAAACTGTGGTGGATTAGCATCCTATCCAGTAGGAGCAAGAGTGTAGCTGGGGGAAGAGGGAAGGGAGTTCTGGGGTACCTGCAACCCCCCCCTTTGTTAGCCTTTTTTTTTTTTAAGCAAACAATGCACAATATTCTGGTGGTGAGTACCCTCTATTTGACTCAGTGTGACCACCCCCTTTTGAAAAATCCTGGCTGAAATAGGATGAGCTCAGGCTGGATGAGCCACATAGCTTGCATACCAACTCTACCTGTGCCTTTTATTCCTTCCTTTTAGTTCTATCCAGAAAATCACATTCTCAAAAGCAATCTGATTTTCATTTTTGATTTTTCAGGTCGCTCTACCCTTTCAGGTCTTTGTAGCTACATCACAGGATTCCTACCGTAAACCAAGCACAGGGATGTGGGAATTCTTCTGTCAAAAATGTAATGGTGGCATGAAAGTGAATAAGGAGAAGAGTTTCTTTGTTGGTAATGCTGCTGGAAGGGCAAAAGACCATGGGGCAAGTGATAGAGAATTTGCCACAAATTGTGGGCTGACATTTTACACTGAGGATGAATTCTTTTTGAAGGATGTATTGATGAGCAAAGAAAATGAATAGGTGTTCCATACCTGCAGGAATGTGTACGACATTTTGTAGTTATATTTTGGTCATTGTGTAAAATATTTTGTTGTTATTTAATAACCAAATATCTTAAAGGTGTTTTTAAAACAGTCAATTCTCAAAGCAGTATTTATTCTGTTAAGACATGCTTTGTGTATTTCTTATTTAATAAAATGTAAATGGTGCTTCTTGTAACAAAGTGTAGCTGCTGTTACTTCTAAATAAATCTGTAAGTCCAAAGCCCAAGCCTTGGTTAAACTTTATTTGAGTAGCCAGCCCTAACACATTCAATGTTCACTTCCAATTACTTTTGAACATTTCCAAAAGTGGCAGGGAAACCCACAGGATATCATTGTCTAAAATTTTCTAGAATGTATCAATTTGAGGAAAAGATTAAAAAAAAAAACTGGGTACAAGTTACAAAGCTGGGTGGTAGGGAGGAGGGGGACAGGAGGTTTCTCCAACCCAATCCTCACCCTCTTATTCAGTTTACAAGCATTCAAGAATATGTAATCAGTACACTTAGAGGGTATTAAAATATATCTCTGTTTTATTGGAAAATGATACTTATTTTCTAGTCTTTGTCGAAAGTGAAGCTTTTCTGGTGCTCATTATTTTCAAAATCTGGTTTGTCTCATTCACAATGTCATGTTTATGTAGTACAAATTTCACTCCTTTGGAACTGACTCCTTCTGCTCTCACATACTCTCCAGCAAGGAGAGCAACTGGTGGATAAAGTAGGATGTTAAAGAGTTTTTCTACTGTTGTGCCCGGTTTCAACACAATACAGTCTCTGAGGACCTGGGGTTTCTCTTTAGTGACTACACTGATTGATTGACAAGTATCAAGGCAGTTAACAGGAAATGCGTAACTTGGTGAGCGCAGTTTCACAGCTTGTGACAAAGCTTTCAGGACACCAGTGTCACCAAAGATGTCAAGGATGCTGTTTTTTACTTGTAGCAACTCTTTCTGGGACTTTTCACTTAGATCCTGAGTTTGATGGTTAATTTCAAAATGTGATGCTCCACTTTGGTAAGACAACAAGTCATCCTGGCATGCTTGTTGTAGAATACACTCACTCCTTGCACTAACAGGGACCATCATCACATCCACAAACTGCTCTTGAAATTTCTTCAAATTATGAATAGCATCAGGAAGGTCAACTTTGTTGAGAGCTAATAGAATAGGAAAGCGCAAGAACAAGAATTTGTCAACTAATTTGTGCACCAAAAGTTCAGCATTTGCTTTTTCCATCTTAGGAAGAGCAAGGAGTTTTTTATCTGACATTCCTGCTGACTCAAACGTTAAGTGAATCAATGCCTGAGATGCATGGTACCCAGTGAACATGTCAAATAGTTTGGCTGGTTTCTTAACAATTGAGTCCCATTTGTCCATAATATTGTCATAAATCCAGCTGTGAAGTTCTTGTTGAATCCATCCAATATCTCTGGTTGGGTCATACTCTGATAAAAAAAAGGAACAACAAAAACTTCAACATGGAAAAAAACTTACAATTAACCCTTTAATTTCGAGAAGTGATTAAAATGTAATTTTTCCCTGTAAATTATATCCTTAAATTATCCAGCAAACAGGTAATGTGAATACTCAATCTTATCAGGCAGAAGTTGTCATCTTGATCCAAAACCAACAACTGGTGAGTAATTCACAAGGAAATACATAGCTGCTAGAGGGAGCAAGTTGGGAGTTACAGATAAAGGGTTAATTAGGGACCGTTCATTATTTATTGGGGGGGGAATGGTCACAATTTTTTTAGCTCCACTTTGGGGAGGGCCATTTTAAAAAAATTCCAATCGAGGGGAGGGCTACGATTTTTTGAGATTATAAGTATTCACCACAAGTCTTTGAACTCAGAGTTCTCTTGACTGGTTGCAGCATGAAAAGTACATGTGTTATGAATGCAAAAGGTCTTTATTAAAGGCATAACTGTTCAAATGAAACACTCTACATTTGTGTCAGTTTGTTACATGATTCATTTGTTGTACGAATGTTGTACAAATTTAAAAATACAACTCATGAGAAGATGTCATGAGCAGTAGTAGCTACTAAAAAACTGCAAACGTGCCACGTCTGACTTGCCCACATGCACCACACATTGATTATATAACTAATGATACCAAATAATATGCTCTACTTTTTGAACAGAAACCAGCAATATTTTTTTCGAGAATAAAAGTAATATCGAAAACTTCTGACAGTTAGTCTGACGCAGTTTAGTGGCCCTCGCCCCCCAGTAAATAATTACCGGTCCCTTATACCTTAAATTCTTATCTTGCAGAGAAAGCCAATGAAATCATATTTAAATCACCAGTACCTGTGGTGGGTTTTCCAGTCTCGTCTGTCTGCCCTGACAGATCAATAACATGAATGAGTACATCAGCATCCAAGAGATCATTCAAAAATTTGTTTCCCCGTCCTCTTCCTTCACATGCACCTGGCACCAAACCAGCCACATCTTTGAGCACCACTGGAACAAACCTTTCACATTGAGCAGTGTGGCCATATCGAGCATGACATCTTTTTGTCCACTGAGCACAGGGGCAAGGTATTGCATAAAATGCCTGCCCAATATTTGGTTCAATAGTGGTGAATGGATGGGCTCCTATTTTTGCCATATTTTGGTGGGTAGCAGCATTGAAGAAAGTGGATTTACCAGCTGAGGGTTTCCCTGCAAAAGAAAGTTAAGTGTTCAGAAAGTGAAACAAAATGTATTTTTATTTTTAATAATTATTACAGATAACTCAAACCAGGACCTGGTTATTCATGACTTCCCACACTTCTGGCATTTTGCTTATGTTTCCCAAATGAGCTTTACTTGGCTCCTTTTGATATATACTTTGCTTTTCTTAACTATTCTCTTAAACAGAACATAAACAGATAACACCCTGTGATTTCAAAGTGTAGGAAAACACCAGTGACAAGCTAACAATTTATTCACATCTCACTGGTAGGGGCATTGCACAAGTTTTGCAAACCAATGAATGTTAATCAAATGTAGTATAGCACAACCAATGCAATCAATGTTAATTTTGAAAAAACACTCAAACACTGTCCAGTAAGCTTGATAACCAGCTGTTCATTAAGAAATCACTCCTCCACCAAAGGAATTTTTCTAAGAGAGCAACAAAGACCAAAATCAAGGGAACAACAGAAAGCAAGCCTTAGTAGTTACAACTGCCATGTACTTGTTGTATTGATATTTCAATTTTATTAAAATTATTTATACATATGATTGACTAATTATTACCAATTAAGCCAATGACGAAGTCCCATCTTCCACCTTTTGCATTGATAATGTCCAATTTGTCTTTAAAATTTTCCAAGTTAAAGGAATCTTTATCATCTGTTTCCTCATCTGATTCAACCTTTGCTGCTTGGTCTTCTTGAAAGCCGTTGAGTTTCATTGCATTTTCACCAATCCATTCTTTCGCAGAATCTACTAAACCAAACACCATGGGCATTCCTATAGATTCTTCGCATGAACATTTCAAGAAGGAGATCAGTTCTTCTATGAACTCTTTTGGTAATGCATTGGAGCGATTTGGTATCTCGATCGAAGGAATTTCATCTGGGTATTTCGATGGAAGAGAAATTTTCAGTTGAAGCGACGTGACGGAGGATGAGATGTTTAGTTCATCAATTCTGATCAAAAACGTCGGAGGGAAAGAACTGAGTTCAGAGAATTCGTAAGGAAATATGGCTTTAAGGCTTTCAACCTCTTCTTTTTGCTCTTCTAGAAAATCCATTTCAGGTATGAGTATGTATGTGAAAAATAAATTAAAATTTGAGAAAAAAGAGGGCAGCAAGAGGTGAAAATGCCATTTTGGATTTTGGTGGTGTAATATAAAACGAATTCTGATTGGTTTGACTATATGATATCCCAGAGGTCTATCCGAAGTAGATTGCGTTTTCTCAGGAAAGCAAGATGGCGGCTCGTATCTTTTCAAGAGTGAACTTGGTTTCAAAGCGATTTTTCGCAGCTACCGCTTCTCCAGGGGCTTCTTTGGCAGAAAAAGAACTGGCAGAGGCGAAACATGCTGAATGTAAGACAGTAGATTCGATGTTATCCTATCACTTCCGAAAAAATGTACCACAAACTGGCATTGCGCGTTTATATTTTGATACGCTTGCTATAAACGCATTAATTTTTGTTCAATGTTGTGCCGTGGTTGCCCTATCAGTTTAAATACGCAACTTACAGTGTTTGTTCATTTATGAAACTATGAAGTATAGTAAGCGTCCATGGAGGATAAAATATTAAATGAACCCATGACTATTACTATCGAGGGACGTGGTCGTAAACTCGTACATATCGTACTAAATTGGCCAGTTGATATTGGTAGTTTAAATTTGTTTTAAAGGCTTTTGGTGGAATGGAAATATCTTGTTAAATTTAATTTACCTTGTGGCCAACGCTTTAAATTCTGAAGGTAGAGCCCTTCTCATATTTGTGAAACAATTAAGACGAATTTTTTAGTCAGGTCATACGCCGGTAAAAGTATGTTTTGTGGTTTATGCATGGGAAAATAATGAAGGAAATTTAAGATAATTTACTTATTTAATTTTTCTCAAGCTCTCATAAGTTCTTCTCCAAGATAAGGCCTCTAGGTATTGAAAACGATTGCCCACCTATACCATATGTGAGATTGTATGCCAATTTAATGACATGATGTGGGTTGAGTTTGTTGTTAGTTCTCGTCCTTGCTCCAAGAGCGCTTTTCCCTGTGCTCTGGTTTTCCTCCCCTGTAAAAACACCAACACTCCAAATTCCTACGCGGTCTGGAAACAGTGGACAAGGAGAGCCACCCAGTGGAATGCCCATTGTTGGATTCCCATATATTGTTATTATTTTACTACAGAAAGTAAGACGTGTAAAACCAAATCCCATAGTAGGGCAAAGGTGTCATCTTCCCTTTTTTATGCCATGGTTTGGTTTTATTAAAAATCAACATCCTCAGTTCTGGGGTTTTTCACTTTGTTAACTGGTAATTTGTCTTTGGGAGAAAAATATTTCGCTAATGCTGTCTAGTGTTCTTCTTTGAAATGGTAAAAAGGTCTTACATTTTTGTTTATGGGGAAAATAGGGTCTCAGGTTTGTCCTCCATCAAAACAGGACAGATATTTTTCAAAATTCTAATTTCAACTAGTTAGTAATTCCATTTTTTTTCTCTCTCTTGTTCTCTCTTTCTTTAGCAACCATGAAGACCTGGAAGTTGATTTCATATTTTGTTGCCGTTCCTGGCATTATAATCTGTACTTACAATACGTATCTCAAAGAGAAAGAGCACCATGAACATCCAAGGGCAGAGTTTAAACCGTACTCTCATCTCAGGATTAGGTCTAAGGTTGGCAAATAGTTTACTTTTTTTAAATAGTCTGGGAGAAGCACTGGCATAATGACCAGTGCACTGGACTCCGGTCAAGAGGTCTGGGTTTAACCCTTTAACTCCCATGAGCAACCAACAGAATTTCTCCTTACAATATCAACAGTATTATATGGCTGTGTCTCACAAGGACTGGGAACTACTGAATTCACGAATTTGATTGGCTGAAATCAATATTGAAAGCAGTCTAGATTTTCCCATCTAGACTGGCATCTAAACCAGTCTAGAAAAAAAGGTACAAAGAATATAAAAAATTGGCATATAAGACACAGCCATTTAATAAACATCTTATTAACCAAGCTAGGCCAGTCTGTATAGGAGAATCTTGACCTTATTTGCTGGTACAGACCTCACTGTGTTCGGTCTGTACTGTCGACCTCGGTCAAGATTCTCCCATACAGACCTCCCACTTGGTTAATAAGAACCAAATATCAAGCAGACAAATGATGAGAATAAAGAAAATAGAAAATCAGGGGATTATCACTTGATCCAATACTAAATTCTCCAAACTAACATCATAAGAACTGTATGGCAGATGGTAAGGAGAATTGCTAATGAGATCTTGGGAGTTAAAAGAGTCAAGACCTGGCCAGGTCAGGGTGGTGTGTTTTTGGGCCAAAACACCTTTTTCTTACTGTGCCTCTCTCGGCCCAGTAGAATAAACGGGTACGGGTGAATTGTCAGGGAAGCCTTAT